TTTGACCTCATTGACCTCAGGGCTTGGTTTTTGCTCTGATATGCATTATCAGCTGTTAGACCTTTTATTATGCCTTTCCATCACTCGAAGTGTAGTAACATCTACAAGCAATATAAATGCTCCTGAGCTAAATTTCAACTGTCCCAGATAACGTATGCAATGGTTAAAAGTCTTCGATCTTTGAGTTCAGCTCATGAAAAATGGGGGCAAAAACAAAAGTGTTGCGTTTATAATTTTGTTCAGTGTATATAGCCAATTTTTAATGATTTATATTAGACCTCGTAAATAGACTTATATCAGTAACACTTTATTTTAAGGACCAACTCTCACTATTAACTAGTTGCTTATTAGCATGCCTATTTCTAGCATATTAGCAATTTATTAGTACTTATAAACTTAAACACAGGTTAATACCTTATTCTGCATGACCATATTTTAGACCCCTTAATCCTACCCCATACCTAAACTTAACAACTGCCTTACTAACTATTAATAAGCAGCAAATTATGAGTTTAATTAAGCAAAAGTCATAGTTAATACTTAGTTAATAGTGAGAATTGGTCCCCAAACTAAAGTGTGACCGATTTATCTCATGCTCCTCATTATTATTGCTTGAGCTAGCTTTGATTATACTAGATTCCCTCTTTTCTCAGGGTCCAGAGTTTGACGAAGAAGCGGAATCTGACCTGACGGTGACAGAGCTCAGAGAGCGTGCTAGAAAACAGAGAGAAGAGCTGGAGAAGAGGATGATGGGTGATGGCTCAGATGAGGAAGAAGAGAAAGAGGACAGCGAAGCCAGTGCTTCAAGGAGAAGCTCCTCAGAAGAGATTGGCTGCTCTTGGGGAATGGGTAACAAAGACAACAGATGATCCTCAATCCGTTGTAACTACCTAATTTTAGTGAACTTACACTTTGTCCTTTTTTTTAGCTGAAGAGGCAATGCCAGAAGAGGATGAGAATGAGGAGAATCCGTTTGCCACAGAATTTCAGGAGGATCAGGAAGCAGCATACTTAAAAGACCCGAAAAAGGCATTACAGGGCTTTTATGACAGAGAAGGTAAAATAGCTTGATTCAAATGAGGATACAGAATCATGAAATCTTGATTTCTTTGCCACATACAACCATGAAATCATATGATTTTAATGGTTTATTTTCATTTCAGGAGAAGAACTAGAGTTTGAGTATGAAGAAAAAGGCCATGGTTCCTGGCTCTGCAGAATTAAGTAAGCACTTACTCTCAGTTTGCAGCCAAACCACATTTGCACCTTTTTTTTGGGCTTTATAGCCATTTAACACCAGCTACCAAAATTGGAATGATTGGTGGCAAAATTATCTACGGAAATACACGGACTGGTTGATCTTAAATGGCTGTGCATTTGTGAATATTACTTATGAAAAAGGATACAGGTGATTTTGGTGACATTTATGTAGAAGTTGAGATTCGAAAATATTTTGTTTAGAAAATATTGTGATTTCTGTGTCTTTTAGGTTGCCGGTGGATGATGCTATGGGCAGGCAGCTGGTGGCTGAAGTGACCCACACAGGAAAAAAGAAAGAAGCGGCCGTCCAGTGCTGCTTAGAGGCCTGCCGCATCCTGGAGGCCCGTGGTCTTCTGAGACAGGAGGCAGGTAGGTAGACGTCAAACAGTCATACCAAAGGACTTATGACTAGGCTCATACTCATGGATAAACCTTTTTAAAAATTGCCATGTTAACTGTTTGTTTGTTTACTAAATAAAATGTTCCAAAAAAAAAAAAAATTGTCGTTTATGTATTTTGGTTGACATTTGTGTAAAACTGTGGATTTTAGAATTTAGTAGGAGTGATCAGTTATGGGTTTTTCAGGGTCGACTCCTCAACTCCATTTACTCACAGGGTCAGCAATAAGCAGCAACAAGATTGCAGTTGTTATATTACACACTAAATGGAGGCTATTTTTTTTTTTGACACAAAGCATTTTAAACATTAAAACAACGTATGGCTGCCCAAATGAGTCGAATTTAGAGATGACATTACTTTGAAATGCTGAGTATCACATTGTTTTCTAGTTGTTGCCAGTATATTTAATTTTAAAGAGGGAAAATTCATCAAGAAACAGCCTTCTAATATTATTTCAGAGCTAAATGTATGAGAGAGAACATGTTCTTTGAATTAATATAATGGCCGGGTGAGAGCACTAAGCACCCATTGTCATCTTTTAGTGCAAAAATGTTCTTGGACAGGAAAGTTCAAAATATAAAAAATAATAACCAAATACATATAATGATGTACTTACTATTCTGTTTATTCTTTTTGGCAGTTTTTTTTTTTTTTATGGATAGTTCACCCAAAAATGAAGATTCTGTCATCATTTTCTCACCCTCGTGTCGTTCCAAACCAGTAAGACTTTCGTTCATCTTTGGAACACAAATGAAGATATTATTAACAAAACGAAATCTAAGCGATTTCTGTCCCTCCTTTGACAGTCTATGCAACTGCCACTTTGACATTTCAAAAAGTTGTTAAAGAGATCGTAAAACTAATCCATATGAAACTGTTTAGACCAATTTTTCTGAAGAGACTCAATCACTTTATATGATGAATATATTTAATTTAGGCCTTTATTCACGTATTTACATTGATCAGTATTTTCACCGTATTAAGTGACTGGGTTTTAGAATTTAGTTTTGCAGTATGAGATTTGAGATTTTTAATATTCATATTTAAAATTTTGCCCTGTTTTTAAGTTGTTGGTCTCTAATTATATTTTTTTGCTGACAGGTCAATAAAACTTCTAGTTTTCGTTCTTCTTCTTCTTTTGTCAGGCGTTTATAGTCCACTTACAAGCATTCTATTTTTGTCTCTTTGCAGTGTCCCGCAAACGCAAGAAGAAGAACTGGGAAGATGAAGATTTTTATGACAGTGATGATGACACGTTCCTTGACCGGACAGGTGCAGTGGAGAAGAAGCGCACTGAACGCATGAAGAAGGCTGGAAAGATTCAGGAGCGTCCTGATACATATGAATCACTGGTATGGAACCTGCATCATATTTCCTTTGTGATTATCCATGCCCCTGTGTGTGCTGTACCTGGTATTGATGTAATATGTATTCTTTCTTAGCTAGCCAAACTGGCTGAGGTGGAAAAGGAGCTGGCTGACGCTGAGAAAAGGCTCAGTTCTTCTGGGAGAGGTAAGGTGGTGAAAGCCTCTGTCCTTTTTCATATTTTCCTTCATATTTCATCATGTGTAAGGTCCTCCTTCAGGAGTCTCCAGTTCTTCCACCGAGGACCCTCTGGATGCTTTCATGAGCGCCGTACGGAGCGAGGCCGCTCTGGATGGGGTGGAGAGAAAGAAGCTACATTTACATGTAGCCGAGTTGAAGAAGGAAGGTCAGAGACTGCGCAAGCTAGCAGACCTGGCCAAACCCACCCAGCTGCCCTCATTACAGGCCAGCAGGTGAGCTCAGTGTTCCTTTCAGATCCGCTATCAAAAGTAGGGCTGTACCATAGACTGTAAAAAAAATGGATTTCATAGGGCCTAATTTTGTATATAATGTTTTTGTCTGTTTGCTTTAAATACAAATCTAGTAGTCAGGACACTGAGAAACCTAAGAAGTTATCTCTGCCTTTGTTTGGAGCCATGAAAGGAGGGAGTAAATTCAAACTGAAGACTGGAACTATAGGAGTGAGTCTTTTTACATTTATATAGGAATAATATATAGGTCATTCTGTAAGAGTTGCATATGACTCTCTCTCTCGCCTAAATGAGTAGACGTTACCCCCAAAGCGAACCAATCTGCCTCCTGAGCTCTTCAACATGAAAGAAATGCCCCCTGGTGGTGAGGAAGAGAAAGAAGAAGAAGAGGAGGAGGAGGAGGAAAAAAACAAGAAAACAGAGGATGCGGTCACAGATGGGGATATGGAGGTTGTTCAGTCTGTAGAGACGACCAGCTCAGAGCACTCCAGTGCAGACAGAGCTGAAACTCAGACACACCGCCCTAATGGTTAGACATGGACAAAAATAACTACCCACCACAGCCCTAACAGTGCTCTGGGATGAAAAGCTTTGTTAGGAATTTAAAACAATATTCTTAGAGTAGTGTAATTCTATTTCTGGCCACAAGAAGGCAGTGTTGTGCTACACAGAGTCTAATTTTACTTAAAGGGGTGGTTCACTGGTTTTTTTCTAGGCTTGATTGTGTTTATGGGGTGCAGTCTAACATGTGTTAATGCTTAGTTTTTAAAAAAACACATTATTTTTAACATAATTTACCTTTATTCCACACCCCTCTGTCCCTTCTCTGAGAAACGGACTGATCTTTTCCTGTTTTTAAGCGGGGTTTATCTGGGTTTGTGATGTCACGAACCCGGTAAGTAACTTGATGTACTCCTTACCAGCTGTTTTTGTAGGCATTAAACCGCCAGAATTTTAAAAGACGATATCTCCGTTTGCATTGAACTTTCAGCTTCGTAACTTTGCAGATATTGTTTATGCTCAAACAGCAACATTACACACTAACTAACGTTAAAAAAGTGAAATCGCAATCAACCACCCCTTTAACTACCACTTTGGACAAAATGTCATCCATAATATTAGCCTGTAAGCATAGCTAGATATGCTAGATATTGTCTAAAATAATTCTGTGTGTCTAGCCAAAGGAGACCACAAGGACCAGCCTGCTAAGATAGTTGCATCTCGTGAAAAACAGAAATTCAAGTCTCCCCATCTTCAAGACAAAAGTGCCTCTCCTCCAAAAGGTAGAATCAGATATTCTGTATATGGTTTCACGTATTCTGTTGAAATGTCTAATTTCTTTGAAAGGTGAAGTGTAACTGTTTTAAAACTTTTCTTCCGTTTATCCATTGATTGTTTGTGCTTCTAACTTTACCTTTAAGTGGATAATGGCTGTGACAAATGTCTGATGCACTTAGTTTTTAATTATGATTCATATCCCAACAGAAGAATTTGACAGCAGTGTCTCAAATGTCCAGAGTCCAAAGACAAATACAAAGAAGACAGTCATTGGCCCAAGCAGGGTAAGTATTGTAATACTAAATAATTATTATCCGCATAAGATAAGGCAAAGATTGACAAAAGTGCTAAACAAGGTTTGGACCTACACTGGCCCCAAAATATAAAAAAAGTGGCTTTTATTTTAAAGAAAGTTAACACAAGAATGCTTTTCAAATGAAACGTTTCTCAAAAAGAAGCGTGTTAAGTATTAACTTATAAAACTACTGATATACTATTCGAAATGAAGACAAAAAAAGTGATTAGACTTTTTCTGGTTGTCAAACCAGACCATGTTTGTAGTAAATATGATTACATGCTAGTGCTGCTAGCTAGAACACCTTTTGGATACAAGATACAAAATAATTCTTTTGTGAAATATTATTGTATTGTTTTTACAAGGTCACTCTGCTAGCTGGAACACTTGTGTGATCATTAAGTGTGTAAATACATCTTGCAATGTACAATTTGTCTGTAACTTACAGTAAGGTTCTAGAATTAGTTTCCATGTGCCCTGATATTTATACATATCTACCCTTATTTCTAGCCTCCTGTGACCATGTCTAAGCAGTACCCAGAAGATGACCCCGACTACTGTGTTTGGGTTCCTCCATCGGGTAAATAGCTGCCTCTCTTCACCCCTGATGATTGTGATATAATTAAGTCCTGCCTGTCCTGTTACACAAAACAACTACTTATTTCTTTGTGCAGTTAGAAATATGCATCAGAAATCAAGCATTCTTGGCACTGCACCCTTTAATCTCAATTTACAGGCTTTCGCTGAATGGGTGTTAGCTTTTGATCTTAGGACACTTCAAACACAGTTCAGTCACAGTTTCTGGGGATTAGAGAAGTTGCATTATGGGAAAGCACATGAATTCCAGGCCAAGGAATTTATTTTAAAGTCAGGAGGTCATTACTAGATAAGGTTCTGTGTTTCTTAGAAAAAAGAGAGAGATCCAGTCTCTGCCAGAATCCATTTTTGTTGATATGGTGCAATAAGTTGTAATCATGTTACGCTAAGTTACCTAAAGCAAAAACAAATGGCCCTCATTACTACACTGTATTAGCCATATGGCTATCTATGACTTTATTAAAAGATAAAGACTTAATGTTGGCCTGAAGTATATTTTATTTGCAGACATACATAATGTGTTCTTTAATCTGCCTTGAAATAATTTTTGCTCAACTGTTCAAAGGTTTGGGGTCAGTAAGATTTATTTATTTATTAAATAAATGAATACTTTAATTCAGCAAGGATGTATTATATTTATCAAAAGGGACAGTGAAGACTATTTATCTAAGTATCCTAAAATGTATCACAGATTCCACACAAATATTAAGCAACACTGTTTTGTTAAGAAAAAATATTTCTAATCTTGAGCACCAAATCTGCATTTCTAATGGACCATGTGACACTGAAGACTGGAGTAATTCAGCTTTGCCATCACAGGAATACATTTCTTTTTAACATATATTAAAATACAAGACTTTTTTTTGTGTGTGTGAAATTGTAATATTTCACAACCACACTGTTTTGCCGTATACTTGATTAAATAAATGCAGCCTTGGTGACCCCAAACTTTTGAATGGTAGCACATTTTAGAGACTTTCAGATTATTATACTTCAGACATTATTAAATTATTGCCTATTTGTATATAGATATCTATGCATACAAATTGAAATTTCCCCCCCTGATGCATAAAAATAAATGATTATCCTATGTTGGTTTGCATTACATTTTCTCTTTGACTTGAAAATCCATCTCATTATGGAAGTCAAATAAATGCTTTGTAATTGCCATTTCATGTTGTCATAAACCAGAAATGTTTAACAGGTGAAACAAAGAGATCATTTTATCCTGTTTGTCTGTTTTGAACAGGTCAGACCGGTGATGGTCGAACACATCTGAACGATAAGTACGGATACTGAATACAGAAAGGAAAGACCATCCTCACTGGATCAGGAATGGAATCAGCCCAAACGTTCATCTTAGCCCTTGGGAGTGAACAGATATATAATTTTTTCTCATCTTTATGCCAAAACAATGAACTTTTTTGACAGATGTTAGGTTAGGATAAGATGTTTCTAGCAATTGTTAATGAAAACTGTTTGGTCCTGTGACTGATTTTCACTTCCCTTTGCCCTGTTTTCACACACTTGGTCTGAGACCAAGGATAGTTTTGGAGTGGAGGTAGCTTAAGGCTGAGGAAAAGATTATTCTATTTTCAGGGTTGTTTTCCTGGGCAAACAATATCATTTCTTAAACAATATTTTGGAGTTTCTGTTTTGCTGCTTATTCAATTCGAAATGTATTCCAATTGACATTGTATTTTCTTCAAACGCATCAGTCATGTCAATCCACTTATGTTTAAGAACTTCTGTTGTTGACAAATCTCTACCCACAGCTTGCTGTTCTTGGATCATTTTAACAAGCCTAAGCGAGCTCATTGACCACTCAATGCGCTGTTCTGGGTCATTCTCGGAACAACGGCGGACTCCCTTCTCAGTTTGGCTGAGTGGCCACGCTCCGTATGGCGAGAGCTCCTGTTGGACGCGGTTCTGTTGACTGCTAGCGATGCCTCCTCGGAGAGAGGCGGCTTTACCAGCCATCTGGACACTTGCTTGGCATTCTAGGATTGGGAGCAAGCTGTTAATGAATCAGTCTATGTGTGTGTGTGTGTGTTTGCAAGAAAGGGAGTGATAGTGAGCTCCGTGTACATTGTTAATGTGTGTCTTCACTTCTCTTGATATTAATGAAGAGTGACTCAGTGTTGGTGATGTGCGAGCTTGTGTGTGTTGGCGTCTCCGAGGATTCGCTACTACGCACTGGTCTCTCTGTTTATGCAACCCTTTTAGTGCTTTTGAATTCTCCATTGTTTGGAGAGCATGATTAGTCATATACAAAATGTGTGTTTTGTTATTTTGTAAAATAAAAATGTACGCTGTGTCTCACCAACAGTCTTGTGTTGAGGTTTTGGGGTCTTCTAGCCCTATAAAGCCTACTTTATCATATTTGATGAGCAAATTTCTATGGCCTCTAAATTATCAACATGATCAGATGCTTCCTGAAACAAATTCTATATGCCTTTTGTCATCTTGTTGATTGCCTTTGACTATAATTCTAAAAATGTTCCTCTTCAGGTCGTGGTTGTTTTTTTGTTTTGTTTTTTTCTATGAAGTATACTACGCACTGGTCTCTCTGTTTATGCAACCCTTTTAGTGCTTTTGAATTCTCCATTGTTTGGAGAGCATGATTAGTCATATACAAAATGTGTGTTTTGTTATTTTGTAAAATAAAAATGTACGCTGTGTCTCACCAACAGTCTTGTGTTGAGGTTTTGGGGTCTTCTAGCCCTATAAAGCCTACTTTATCATATTTGATTAGCAAATTTCTATGGCCTCTAAATTATCAACATGATCTGATGCTTCCTGAAACAAATTCTATATACCTTTTGTCATCTTGTTGATTGCCTTTGACTATAATTCTAAAAATGTTCCTCTTCAGGTCGTGGTTGTTTTTTTGTTTTGTTTTTTTCTATGAAGTAAATTATAATATTAATTACAATATTAATAAACACTTGCTTAAAACCCCTTAACTGTCACCCCCCATTTTTTAAAATAGGCATGCAGGTGCACTATCCAAACTTAAATTGTTGTAATTTATGAACACTTTGGAATACAGACATAAGGTTGGTCTCTTTTTAAAGAAGATAATCAGCAAATTATTGCAAAAGTAGAATTTTTTCAATGGTTTTCACAGGATGAATCTTGGGCTTCTAAGCTTTCAAATGATATATGATTTATGATGATTACTAAAAGATTTGATAGAGAAAAAAGACAACAACAAAAAAGAGCGCCAAACGTCCCACAGGTGGGACGGTAACAGTTAAGGGGTTAAATTAGCTGTTATCACATTTTGTCATTATCTATGATCTTTTTAAGGAGTGTTGAATGTACAAGAAAGGTTAAGGTAACCATAAAATAAATCAATACGTTTGTGTAAAAACAAATAAGAAACGTGTTTACAGTAATACATTTTCAATGGAATTCTATGGGTCAAGGCTTTCTGGAGGGTGTCGAGCAGAAATACAGTGTTTGTTTAGGCATTTCTGATGCTTGTTCTGTACAAAAATGTACTATACATACATATATATATATATCCATCCATATATGGCCATCTTCAAGAATCGGCTAAAAACACATCTCTTCCATCTTTATTTGACCCTCTAACTCTAGCACTCTCTATTCTAATTCTATTCTTTAAAAAAAATGCCCCTTTTAGACTTGAACTCTATTCATTTACTAACTGCTGTTTTCTTTATAAAAAAAAAATGAACTTCTCTAATCTTTTTGCATTTATTTGTTTTCTTTTATTTATTATACAATTAACAAAGGCAAAAAAAAAAGTCCTCTAACACTCGCTTGTTCTATTATTTTTCTATTCTATTTTCTTTTTATTTATTATGTTATTTAAAAATAACTCGCTACGTGTACTGCGTTAAGCTATCATTGCTCCCTTGTTGATTTTGATTGCTTCCATTGTCCTCATTTGTAAGTCGCTTTGGATAAAGGCGTCTGCTAAATGACTAAATGTAAATGTATATATATATATATATATATAGGCCTATTATATATATATATATTAATGTTTATACCTGAGCACTGCCTCACTCCATAGACTTTAAAGTCAAGGTAGTGTCATAATTTTTGGACAGGAAGTTGTGAGAGACAGTTTCAGTGTGGTCAATGTAACATACCAATTGTTCAGCTGACAAAACGTTTGTTTAAATGTAATGTTAAAAACTATGAATCGTCATATTGAATGAGGTTCACAAATGCTATTTGCAACACAACTGCTTTAGATCGCTTTAGATGGGTTTTTACAAATGTGCCATTTGCAATGAACTATACCCATTGCAAATTCTAAACTGAGTGTGTACACACTGCTTATCAAATTTAAAGGCTGCACACACCCATCTTGATGTCTTCATTCCTGGCTTACTACTTTCTTCAGCCCCTCATCATAGCTGGGCACTGACGTCACTCTCCGGTTCCCTGTACACAAATACACAGCTTATTGCTCTGTTTGGGATCTGGCACATTTATAGGCCTGTGGAATCAGCCCACGCTGGAATGAGAATGCTCCTTTAGGGTGGATATGGAACCTGCAATGTTGGCAGACACACGCACATGCAGGAAAAAATAACAGAACCTTCACACAAACACTTTATTACATGAAGAAACAACTCTCATGAAAGTGGAAAGTGGCTTTTGAGAGGCATGTTTATGTAATCAGGGTAAAATGAGACACGAACATTTAGATGCCACTTGTTTACTTAGTATTATACATTTAAAATAAACAATTTATTATAACAACAGTAATATATTAATATACGAGTTAAAACTACTTCTAACAGTTCAAATCATAATGTGTGACAAAATAATGTTATTTTGGTCAGTCATTAACCTCTGAATAATAAAATAACTTTAAAATGAAATGTAAATCATTTAAAAATATATATATATTTTGTTTACTTGCAAATTGTGACCAATTAACCAACATCAGAGAACCGTGAAATAACAAAATTGTTATATAAATAGTAAATATTAGGGAAATAGTTTAGCTCACAAAATAGTTTAGGGAATATACATATATATATATATATAGTTTAGCTCACAAAATAGTTTAGGAAATAGTAGTAGTAGTAGTAGTAAAGTATTTGAAGTGAAGTAACAAGACACAAACTGGGAAGAAACATTTATTCCCCTCATTTGAGGTATAGAGACAGAAAAGGACAAATATTCACATGTTGCAAGCATGTACTGTACTATATGCCCCTATAGCTATATTTCAAAAATACTGTATTTGTTTCACATAGATACACGTAACACCTAGGTGAAACTTATGCAACTACAAGCAATTGTCCTTATTGTTCACCCTCTGGTTGGCCTAGCTTATTGACCCTTACACGGGTTACAACTGCAGTTTACATTCAGTAAAAAGTATTGAAGTATGCTGCTAAGTACATTACATCCACAATCAAAATCCTCAGAAGAACTGGTTCTGAAATATACTGCATGGATAAGGATTCCTGCTGTCCCTATTTAAGATCACATGTTGAGTTCTGTACTTCATTTTTTACACATCAGAAGGATAACACAGGGTATGTTTGGAATAGTATACTAGCATACTCATCTTGCTATTTTTGCAGTATGTTATTCGTATAGTGTGAATAGTATGCACATTTTCTGGAGAATACTATATCTCACAGTACACTGTGTTCAACTTGACCTTTTATTTCCAGTGTGATTAATAAACCAGAAGATTTTTTTTTTCCATAAATGAATCAATGCAAACTAACACAAACTAACGTTTTATATATATATATATATATATATATATAATGTAACACTTAGTATAGGGACCAATTCTTACTATTAACTAGCTGCTTATTAGAATGCCTATTATTAACATATTGGCTGATTATTAGTACTTATAAAGCACATATTCTGCATGAC